CTTCTACTCAGGCTCAGTGTTGAAGCTCAGGGGACAGGCCTTTATTAGTCTAGCTAGGAGAAATGCTAGGAGGTTGATAGCATTCCAGGTCAAGTGTCCAGCATCTGATAAAAGAGGAGCCAAAGAAAGTCGGCATCAGAATTGCTGGGAGGAGAGGAGCACGTTTGCTAACAGGCAGATTCCTGGGCCCTACCCCAGACCTTCTTGCTCTAACCTCTGGGAAATGGAGTCCAGAAACCTGCCATTAACAGGCCCCCACACTTACCTCAGCTCATTCTTGTGCTCAGGCACTAAAGTGTGCAGAGCATGGCCTGCCTAACCCAATAGCAATAAAATCAACATGCCTCACTCTCCTAAAGCAGGAAGAGAAAACTCATTTCTGTCCCAGGGCCCAGATTTCAGCAAAGTCCTGGTTGGCCAAAAAGTCCATTTAGTTTTTTCCTTAAATAAAAGACACATTTTCCCTTTTCACCAATAACTTTATTGATTTGGATATTCCGAGTAAGTTAGCTATCTCCCACTATTGGCTTCCAGTGGGTGAAGGTGAGGGGTGCTCTTCCAAACATAAGACAGCCCCAGAGCAAACGTGTTGGCTATTGGCTAAATGTCAACAGTACTAACAACTTCACAAAACACTTTTGACATGTTCAATCAGTCACAGCACCTTCTCTACACACTGCACAAATCTGAAATCTTTTTTTGCATTTCAGTTGTTTTTACCTTTCTTGAAATAATAAAGCATAATATGCTGAAAATGTTGCATATTTTCTTTCATCTTCAATATTAAAAGGGCTGCACATAAATTCATCAATTTATGATGTTTTTAGTGCACGCTGATATGACAGCTGTCACAGTACAATCTAACAAAAATTGTTTCACATGAAGTTAAGGCAACTAAGCACTACTAGAGCCATCGTACAGAAAAACCTAAATGAACTTTTTGGCCAACCCGGTAAGAGAGTCACAGTCACTAAACCACCTCCGTGTGAGTGCCAGGGGCTCTTATCTCCAGGAGCCCTGTGAAGTGTGGGTGCACAGGTGTGGGTGCGTGGTAGGCAGTGGCTTCAACTTAACAGAGGTTACAGTGGAAGATGCAGAGGAGATCAGAGACAGATAACGAGGAAGAAGGGGGTCTCCAGGGGACTGCTGTGCAAGGACCAACCAAAAGCCACCCCCAACCTTCAGCCTGTAGGGTCACAGGAAAGATGGAGATTGAGGAAGGCCTGACTGAAATATGAAATCCCACATCCCAGCAGGACTGGATCTCAAAAACATAATATTGGGTGAAAAGAAATCACAGAAGAATGATTTGGTAGGTTCCATTCACATGCACTTTTAAAACTCGCACACGTGAATAGCATGTGGCATAGCAAGGCGAACTTAAATGGTAAGAAAGGAACACGGGAGCAGTGCACTGGGATTCAAGACAGCAGGTCCCTGAGCTGCCTCCGGGGGGCAGGGAAGGGGAGCTTTTAGAGAAGAGGGACCACAGGGAACTTCAAAGGAGCCAATAGCTTCTCTTTCTTAAATAGGTGGTGGGTACTCAGGTCTGGGCACATGTACCTAATACATATTTTGCATGTATAATATGAAATAATGAGTAGTCTGAGCAAAATAAACAAAACTTGTTCATCAAATTCTGAAACACTAGTAAAAGGTGTCACCTTCTGGAATTCGTGGTAGATGTATCTTGCATGAACAAAAGGAAGTCCCATTTATCAAGGGGAATATGAATGTTCAGTACTTGTTACTGACTGAACTTGCCCCACAACAGCAATGGCCGGTGAAGTCTTAGGGACCCAGCTGACAGAGGAAGTAAGTGTCCCCTGCCCAGGGCTGCAGGGCATGGGCTGAGAGCCATGTAGTAGCAATGGCAGTGTGCCATGAAAGGGTCAGCAAATCCAAAAGGGACAAAATGGGACTGGGAGCGAAACAGAGGGAGGCGGTACCTGAAGGAGCCAGCCTGCAGGAATTCTCTCAGATGGATCTGGGCCCTGTCTGGGACCAAGCAGGGCCTTGTCTGTGACAAGGTGCTAGGAATGACCAGCAGCCGGACCTGAAGTAGATGTCACCTCTAGAGGTAACACCAGCAGGCAGAGACCCAAATGGCCAAGAGCGGCCCTGAGCAGCAGAACCTGAGACTGGCCCCATTAGCCGCACATCCTCCGAGATATAAGGAGCCTTGGAAGGAAACTGTCCACCTCTGGTTCAGTGTAGAAATCCCTTCTGCATCCTGTCACTCAGGTCCCCAACCTTTGTGTGAGTATTCCAGTGGCTCAGCACCTCTGAAGGGGTCCTGTGCTATTATAAAAAGACAGTTTTTTTTTTGTTCTGAGCTATGGCATACTTCCCTGATGCTGTTACCTCTTGCCCTCAGGCGTCCCTCTTTTACCCACCAGGTTAGCAGGACTGTGGGTGTACACCAGTGAGCAGGACAAGGTCCACCAGGGGGACAACGTGGTGAACTCAGAGTCATGCCAACCTGGCTGCCCCTCAGAGGAGGACTTGCTCCAGTCAGCAAGCAGGCTCTCGTTTCTTTGGGGTTGGCCAAGGGCTGCCTCACCAAGACCATGACCAAATGCAAAGACAGATCACAGGAAGGGTGGCAAACACTGACCACTGCTGCCTACCCACCAAGAACCCTACTCTGCCCAGTCCTGCTTCTGTTTCCGCTCCCTGACCTTCACAGGTGTTTATTCCTAGTAAATGACCTGCTCGCCAAACTCCAGCTCAGGCCCCATTTCCAGAGAGCCCCATCTGCCACAGAAGGGGGGGTCTTTACAACAGAGTAAATCAAAGAGGAGGTAGTTTTAGACCCACAAGCAAGGAAAACGAAAATGCTGTTGAAAACCTTATTCACTGCAGGCTTTGCTAAATAAAAGTCTGGCGTTCCCCTAAGAATTTCCCTCAAAACAAAGAGGAAGAATTTGTAAGAAACTCCTCTGCAACCCACCAGCCTGAGCATGTTTCTTCAGAGTGGGCGAGACTGCAAACATGCTCAGCTCCCCGCCCCTGGCAGGGCTGGAAGAGCTCCCCATGGCCCTGTCCATCACCCCTCTTCCATTTGTTGGTGCTGGAATAGGATTTGTTAGCACAAGCCAGCAAAACAACCTGGCAGTTTCCACTCACTTGGAAAGCGTTTCTTTTCGAGTTTGGCTTCTTTCCTACTCCCAGAATTCTCAAAAGCAGCCACTTTCCAGTTCTCCCTCCTCTGACCCATAGTGCTGACCACCCTGAGCCCATTTGTGTGATGAGTTGTGCGTTTTGTGCATTGCTGTAAGACAGTCCTGTGGTGGAGGGCCACTCTGGTGATTTATCCCTTGCAGCATTGTTTTCTATTAATAACAAAACAACAGCCAGCCATTCCTGCGGGCTCCTCCAGCACACTTTAAACAAATAAATCTAAGATTTGGTTTGAAGATTTATTTTTAGAGAGATGGTAAGGGAGGGAGGAAGAGCCGGAGAGAAACATCGAGGTATGAGATACATTGACCACGCCCCCAACTGGGGACCTGGCCCGCAACCCAGACAAGTGCCCTGACCTGGAACTGAACCGTGAGCTTCAGTTTGCAGGCAGGCGCTCAATCCACTGAGCCACACCAGCCAGGGCAGATGTATATGTGTGTGTGTGTGTGTGTGTGTGTGTGTGTGTGTGTGTGTGTGTAAGACTGTTCCAGGCCTCCTGTTAGAACCTTCTCCTTGGAAGGCTGCTGGGTTACAAGAAGTGATTAATCCTCTTTAAAATTACTTTTATTATCATCTCTCTCTTTTTGTCCTAAAAAAGAAATTCATTGTACTAGTTTTCTATTGCTGCTGTAACAAATTACCACAAACTTAGTGGTTTAAAAGAACACAAATGTGGTATTTTATAGTTCTGGAGGTCAGAAGACCAACATGGGGCTCACTGGGCTGGAACGGAATGGCAGGCTTCCGCTCCTTTCCTGAGGGCTCCAGGGCACAGCCCATCTCCTTGCCTTTTCCAGCTTCCAGGGGTCACTGGCACTTCTGGGCTCACAGGCCCTTCTTCCTTCTTCAAAACCAGCCGAGGCTGGAGGATCTCACAGGGCACCCCCCTCTCCCGCCTCCCCCTCCACATGTAAAGACCCCCATGACTGCATTGGGCCCACCTGGGTTATCCAGGCTACTCTCCCCTCCTCCAGGTCAGCTGATTGGGAGCATCAGTTCCACCTGTAGACCTGATTCCCCCTTTGCCAGGTAATTGAACATATTCATGGACTCTAAGGTCTAGGACTTCGGGAAGTCATTGCTCTGCTTACAATATCTATGTCCACTGCAGGAAGTTTAGAAATGCAGAAAAGGCATAAATGAGAACATGTCAGCCATTTCCAGTCCCAGCTCCCAGAGAGGACCACCAACAGTTTAGTGTATATTCATCCAGTCCTTTGTTCAGTGCACTTCTTTTTCTTTGTCAGCTAGGTTCAAATAACAATCCTATATATGGTGGCTAGTAATTTTTAAATAATATGCATATATTTCCATGCTGTTAAATATTGTACTGCCTTTCATTTCTTTAATGGCTATCTAGCATTCCACTATGTGGAGGTACTACAGTGTATTTAACTAAATTAGTCAGTCCTCTACAGCAGGACACATCATCGATCTCCAACTTTTCCTCATACCTGGTAGCCCCGTAGTCAACACCCCTGGAGCTACACCTCTGTACACATTCCCTAATGGTACCCCAACGACTGGGTCACCACGTCATCTATCCTCCAAAGCAGCACATTTCTGAGGATGAAAAAGCGTAACCTTAAAAATTAACAGCAACTAATAATGACCAATGAGCCAGGACGGACCTGGGCATGACTCAAGTTGCCAACTGACCTCCTGAAATGCGATGATTGACACTCTCACGGGCAGCACCCAAGTGTTCTGGCCCCGAGCCGTTGCCGACACTGTCAGTCCTCACCGCCCACCCCGCCCCCAACCCTGCTCCCAGCCCCCACCCTCCTCAAGCTGAAAGCCACACGGAGGCCAGTGCCATTCTCAGTCTCAGTGGGGACGTGGCAGTGGAAGGCCTGCTCCTCATGGCAGGGAGGGGACAGCGAAGTCATTCTTTGCCCCGGTAGCCAGTTTTATTCAGGAGAGTCTATTGTGGCTTCTGATCACGGTAGATGCTGGATTAGCTTCCAGGCAGCTGTGACCAACCTGCCCTCTCTATGCACAGGCCTGGCACTGGTCCAGCAGGGGAGGAACCCCCCCAGTGGGCCTTTCCCAGGCCCAGGCAGGTGCGTGTCCCCAGGGGCTCTGTAACAACACGGGATCACCTAGGCAAAGCTACCGGAAGGAGACACTGGCCCTGAAAGAGAGTGAGAAGTCAAGGGCAAGGGCTCAGAGCTGACTCGACCCAAGTTCCCTAACGTGAGGACTGCTCCAATCAACAGGTTAGACTTTCTCCTCACAGGGCTTCCTCTGAAATCAAAGGGCAAAAACACACGGAAGAAAGCAGCTGCTGACACCATCAAAACGAAAAGACCGAATTCGTTGGGAAAATCCTAACATTCCGATGGGGATTTGTTTGCTGGTTTTGTTTTATATTTTGGTAGAGGTCATTTGCCTCTGGCCACCAAGCTGCGTGGGGAACCGCCTGCCACAACACCCATGCAAGCTGCCGTGGGCCATGTGAGTGCAAAATCTAAAAAAAGGCTAATCAAACCTTCAGACTTCTTGCCACAGGCCTTTCTGACCTACTCAATCAACTCACCTGATGAAACCAGTTACTCGGTCCACCCAGAGGCCATTCAGGAAACATTTGGCAGATTCTTGCGGACTCACGCTGGAAAAGCAAACCCACAAGGGCCCTGGGAGAGCAGTCTAGTTGGAGCAGTTTTACTTATACACAGCCGGCACACTGCCCATAGAGAATATAAGCTTTCAGAAATAAAGAAATAAGCTTAGCACCTGCCCCTGCTCCCAAATAATGTTCCAGGTGATATTTTGGAAACACACCTGCAAGTTAGGCTGTATGTTAACCTGGAAAATGAGCAAAACACACCTGTGAACTTTGCTCTGTTCATTCAGTGAGCAAAGGGCAGAGCTGTCTAGCCTGGCACACGAACTGGCTAATGACCAGATCTCCAAAACTTGGGCATTCCCTCTAAAAGAATTGCTCTTTTTAAAAAAAAAATTTCCACTCTGATGTCCATAGAGACAATCAGTGGGGGTCCTGGGCTGTTGGATATGAGCAGAGGCAGAATTATGGGGTCACCTTTGGCCACAGAAAGGAACCTGGCAGTTTGGGGAAAGAAAACACTAGCCCACAGTGTGGGAATTCTCACACCAAAAGTCAGCTTTTGTGTTCAGAAGGATGGGACCCGGAAGTTCCTGAGTCCAGACCTAGAGCACGGCCTCCCCGTAAGCTCAGTGGGCCCTTGGCAGGTGGATTTCTATAAAGATATCTTTGGATGCTAAAGACAGGGGTCACTAGAGAAGGGATAAATGTCGGGTCTGTTCATAGACCCTGGGCCCCCAGATTACCTCATGTGTCATCTCTTATAACTGCTTATCCTGGAGCCACAGCCCCAAGAAAATCCACACGAAGGGACAGGGACAGCCTCCACTTGGCCTTCTCCCTCACTGCATTCAGGTCACCGCACAAATGTTACCTGCTTATGAAAGTGGGCCAGCTCAGTTACCCTGCCTGAAATAGCCCCCCGATTCCCCGCCTCGATTTACCTTTGTTGCACATATTACCCCTTGCCATTATATTAGGCCTGTATGAACTTAACAACGGTCTCTCCAGTTAAAATGTGAGGTGCAAGAATGGAGATGCTTTTATTTCCAGCCAGGTCCCCAGGTCTTAGGACATGCCTGGCCCATAAAAACAGTGCAATAAATATTTGTTGAAGAGTGAATAAATCTTAAAGTTAGGGTTGAGTCATACACCAGTTAGCAGGTATTTTACTAGGCAAATATGGACTCACCTGAGAGATTGTGAAAGAAGTGCAGAGTTTGTAGTGGTTCTGAAGACAGATTGACGAGGGGTGGGGATGCCAAGAGCCAGGTGGCTTGTGCCCTGCAGTAGCAGACACCATGGGTGGGCATAGCCCAGGGGCTTGTTCCTCCCATGCCCCCTTTCTGACTCTGTATAAACCCTGGGAGCTCTCATCAAACCCTGGCAGATTGTGGCCTGGTAGAACTGAAAAACTCTGGAGGAATCATCTGGCTGATGAGTAAATAGGCCCAGATAGGCTTGGTTCAGAAGCCGAGATATCTTTATAGAAATCCATCTGCCAAGGGCCCACGGAGCTTAGGGGGAGGCCGTGCTCTAGGTCTGGACTCAGGAACTTCCGGCTCCCATTCTTCTGAACACAACCAATAGGCTTGGTTCAGTGGCCAAGCTGGGGCTGGAACCCAGGTCTCTCTGATTCCCAGTCTAGTGTTCTTTCCAAAATACAACACTGCCCCAGCAATTACTGAGGCCTTCTAATATTTGGAAGGAATCATTTGGGGGAAATCGCTCCTTTAAATCTTTAACCAGGGGCCACTCTGAAGACATAAAGCAGGCTCTAAACTCTGTTTCTTCTGAGTTTTAATTCTGCTCCACCAAATGACAGCTCTGCTCTTTCGACACCAGCACTGCTCAGCAGAACTTTCTGCAGCAACACCAGTCCTCTATTTCCGTGCGGTCCCATGTGGTAGTGACTAGTCACAAGGGGCTTGAAATGTGGCTAGTGTGACTGCGAAGTGAATTTTAAATTTTACTTCATTTTAATTAATTTACACTTAAATATAAATACTGAGGTGCCTGGTGAGTATCGTTTTTGGACAGTGCCATTCTGGAACCTTGTATATATAAACATTACTCTGCAATACAGGACAGAAGTGGAAGAGAAGGGGAGGGGAGAGACACACGCAGGTGCTGGTTGTATTTCTTCCTCACAGCCACAAGATGGCACCATTGATCAGAGTCTTTACTCTGAAAAGCCGGGCAGATTGGCTTGGGTTCGTCTGCTCCCCATTCCCCCCTCCTTTCCTTCCTTCCTCCCTTCTTCTTTCCATACCTGTCTTTCTATTTTTATTTCCCCCTCTCCCCCTTCTCTGTCTCTTCCTATACCTCCTCCTTGTTCCTCCCCTCTCTTCCTCTTTCAAAACTAACTTTCAGGGGAACTTGAACCATATGATATAGCAGAGACTGTTTTGTGAAGCTCAGAGGGATAAAGATCCCTGAGACTGATATTTGGTTACAAGAAGAACAGTGGTTGGCCCACTGGGCATGACTAGAAAGGCTGGGTCCACCTGGTTTTTCTTCTCTCTGGGCCCTGCCCTACACCTGGCCCTCGGCTTGGGTGGCTGGCAGGGATAATCTTGTTCACTCACCTTCACCCTTACCAAGTCCTCCCCATCCCTGCCAAACACAGTTCTTGGAAGCTCCAACCCTCAGATCCGGTCCTAGAGGTCATCAGAAAAATCTCTAGAGAAATAAAAACACATAAAGAATGTTTCCTGGTGAGGGTTCTGAGGTCTCCTTTGCATTTTGGCCTAAGAAAAAGTGACTTGGGGATGGTGAGCACAGCTTGCAGCATTTTCCTAATATTTTTGTAGTTTGGGAATAAATCTCCAGGGACGGGGCAGGGCTGCAGGCTACTTCCAGTACAGCAGGATCGGTGCTATGATAACAAGCACACAAAGGGAACTTCAAAGCTCTTCCGGAATCTGAATAGGCAGGGCCCTGCGGAAGGGTCATTGGATGTTAACTTTGCACCAAAAGCCCTCTTAAGAGCTTTCAGATGTCCCTGCAGCTCTGAAAAGACGTAGGACCCAGCCCCTCTCAATGGAAACAGGATTCGACAGGGCCCTGAAGGCAAAGACAGGGTGAACAGAGCCCAGAAGTTGGAGGTCTAGCTCTAATTGTTCTCTGGCTTAAGAACTGAGGCTGATTTCATCTCTGCACAGTGAATCTGATCACTGCAGGGACTCACCCCAGATTCCGTCCCGCCTCCTCCCAAAGCTGGTCAAATCCTGACACATCTACTTTAGAGCAGGGCTTGGTGAGAATTACTAGCATCATTCATTTCTGAGGCCCAAGTGACTCCTTTATCTCTGATAGGCACAGGGATCAAAGGAGGGTATTTATGTCTTAGAAACAAACCTCCCATTCTTTCCCCTGCTATAATAAATAAGAAAAAGCTCCTAAGCCTCCTTTGCCCTCCAATCTCTTCCCTGGCCAGTCCTCTCTGTCTTAACTGTCCCTGAACTAAAACAAACCCTTCTCTCTACTATTCCTCTCCCTTTCTAAAGAACCAGGTCGGGTCAAGCCACCGTCTGCCCAGCTCCAGAGAATCGTGGCTGCAACCATGCTGTGGAGCAAGTGTTGCTGATCCCTCCGTCCCAGGGGAGGGTGGAGGTCCCTGACCTCAGGCAGCTCTCCCTGGGAACCTCAGTCTTTACGTTGCCCAGGTGTGTATATCAGCCCTGGAGTCAGACCACCTGGGCAAACCAGAAACCTGGCCCTGTCGCTTATCAGTTGTGGGAGCCTGGGTGAGTTGTTTAACATTTATGATCCTTAGTTTCCCACTCACTAAACAGGGATCATAATAGGACCCAAGGCAAGCTTATGAGAAGTGAATAAGATAAAATATGTAAAATGCTTATTAAAGAGCCTAATACAAAGTAAAGTCAGGTACATTTGTCAGTATCTCAACACCCTTATTTTATTTCCAAGAACATGTAGCTGGAGTGCAGATGGAGTCATTCCTGCTCTTCGTGGCCTCTAAGAGATGACAAAGTGAGGGCCCCACCGGGACCGGGGGCCACCACTGGGACCGGGATCCGGTCGTGTGGGCAAAGGGGGGCCTCAGCCTCACAGAAGCTGTGAGAGGCACCCAGGTCGCTTTCTCAGCCTCGGCACTATTGGCATTTTGGGCGAGGTCGATTTTTTGTGAGGGGTCATCCTGTGAATTTCAGTATCTCTGACCTCACTAAGTGCCAGTAGCAGCCTTCTAGTCGTGACAATAAAAATAGAATAAAAATTAAACAACACGTGTCACTAGACATTGCCGCATGATCCCTGGGGGGCAAAACCGCCCTTGCCAGAGAGCCACCTGCATGGGCAGATGGGGAGTGTGGGGGCGCCCCCAGGGGGAAGCCGAGCTGAAGAGGCAGGAACGAGAATCATCAGACAGAGGACTCTCCCTCCCCAGGCAGGGCTCCGGCTGACCCTCAAGGATGAGTACACGGGTTGACCTTGGAACATTCCCCTGACTTTCTGTCCCCACCCCCTATCCCCAAGTCCCTGGTTTCCCCCCGTAAGCCTGTGGCGTAGCTTCCTCAGGGGGCCCCTGCTTTGATATGAGCCTCCATGGTTCCTGTCACCAAACCAAAATACATGACCCTGTCCAGCCCCAGGGGCTCCAGCCCAGACACATAGCCCCGGTGGCAGAAAACTGTCACTGAACAAACTTTGGGTCAATTCTCATCTCAGGGCAGAGCACAGAGCCGGGCTGCCTGGGTGAAAATGGGTCCCTGCTTCACTACACTGTGTGTAGTGAGTGAGTGGTCCCTCACTCACTGTGTGAGCTTGTACAAATTGCTTGACCTCTCTGTGCCTGTATATCTTTACTGTAAAATGAATACAACCATAGCATTTACTTCAGAGGCTTATTGTGAGGTTTAAATGACTTACTATTTATAAAGTGCTTAGAACAGAGCCTGGCACATAGCAAGCACTGGGTATTGTTAATAAGCTGAAATCCAACCGGAAGCTGCTACAGACCAGGATATGCCACATTCTGTAAATCGGCAGTTGCCCCAGCTATTGTTAGCGGCCATCTGGCCCCACACAGTTCAGCAACCTTGGATCTTGAGTACAGCAAAGAAAGAATTCATAGCCAAGAAATCTAGTACAAGAGGAAGTTTATTTAGCAAGCAAAGCAAAAGTTCACTTGAAAGAAAGAACTGAGTGAACTGCTCAGAGAGCTACCTTAACCTTTTAGAAAGAAAGTTGCAGAGGCAGAAGTGAGCCATCTGGGCTGCGTGGACTCAGGAATCAAATTACAGAGACAAAAGAAGGGCCCTTGGAGCTTAGGAGAGAGAAAGCAAAGACAGAGGCCTGAAGAAGGAAGGTGGGGACCTGCTCTACAGAGAGACAGAGAAAGAGAGAGAGAGAGAACTGTGTCCTTTGTCTCAAGAGTTTTTATCTGTTTTCTAAAGGCAGGAGTTTTAGGGAGGTCTTGGGGGAGGATCTCAGTAAAATATTTACCAGCTTTCCAGGTGTGTCCTTTAATATGCTGATTCATCAAAATGAACATCTATGGTCAGGGTTGTGTTCTCCACTGATTGGTCGGCACAAGGGAGGTCATTGGTCATTGCATCTGGTCCTGATGTCAGCCACGGTGTTGCTTTGTTTGGTTTTGCTGCTTTTCTGGGTCTAGAGCTTAAACACAACTGAGGCCTAGATGTTATCTCTAGTTTGACCAAAATTCTGTCTCTGATTATTTGACACTAAAATCACATTGTCCTGAAGGCTTAATGCTTAAGGGAGTGATCCTACAAAGGAGAAGGAGGCTGGTGAGTCAGAGCACTGGATGGGGCCAGTCCGAATCATCCATCTGTCTCAGTTTCCTCATTCAACCTGCCAAGGAATTTCTGAGCATCTTACTCTTTTGCCTCACTGTGACCTAAGGTCCTGCAGTTGTATTTCTGTGGGTGCCTGGGGTGATGGGACTGTGAATCCCTGAGGCGTCTCTGCTACAGAGGGAGTTGTTCAGACAGAAACTCAGTGCCAAGGGCTCTAGAACTTCCCACTTCACAGCCCCTGGGATTCCTTTGATGTGAGAGGGTTGGGAGGAGAAACTTTTTTCTTCCAATTTGGGTTTGAGGGGTGGCAGAGGGGCATGTGAACTAACTGACAGTAGACAAATTAACAAGAGAAAATATGAGGTCTGTACCCATACTCAGTGTGGGCACAAGGAGTAATGAGTAAGTCACTGAATAGCCAGAGGTGAAGGTCTATATACCAACTTAACAAAACCAGGAGTCAGGCTTTTGTTCGCATTAGGATGGAAGGTTCTGATGAGGCTCCCATCAGAAGTTGTTTACACAATTAAATAGCGATAGATAACCTACGCGAGCACTTAGCAACTCCATGTTTGGGAGTTTTTTTCAGGAGCCATCCTGGCTGTGGCACTGCTTCCTCTGACAGGCAGAAGTAGCAGGTGTCCCCAAAAGTCACAGCCCTCACCCCCATTGCTTTCCTCACTCCTTCACCCTCCCCAGGTACTTTCCTTGAAGAGACTGATAACCCAACAGCAGACAAGAAAGAAATCTCATCTGAACATCCCTTTTCTGACTTCGTGGAGCTTTAGGAATAGCAGCTGCCACAGCCCCACCCCCACTGCTCAGGAGGTCTGCAGCCTGGAATGCACTGACCTTGGGCCCCAGGATATTGATGCTCCTAAAACTTCATGGCCTTAAAAACAAACATTTATCATCCCTGAGACTGTTTAAGAGTCAGGGGTTTGGAAGCTACTAAGCTGGTGGTTCTGGCTCAGGATTTCTCATGACACTGTGGCCATGCTGCTGACCCACGCTGCTGTCATCCGAAAGCTTGACTGGAGCTGGAAGGTGTGTCCCAGGTGGCTCCTCATGTGGCAGCTGGCAAGAGGCCTTAGTCCCTCACTACATGGACCTCCGGTAGGTCTGCTTGAGTGTCCTTACCATGTAGCAGCTGGTGGCTTCTTCCAGAATGAGCAGTCCAAGACAGAACCTGAGGCAGAAGTCTCATGTCTCTGCTCAGCTGGCCTCAAAGGCACAGGCCACCTCTTCTGATGTGTGCTGTTGGTCATGTCGACCTGTCCTGCTTCAGTGAGAGAGGAGACGGCACAGGGCATGAACGCCAGGAGGTGGGGACTACTGGGCACCATCTGAGAGCCACCATCTGTGGCTACCACAGACTTGAAGATCTCTCTCCCAGATGTTCACCTGGGCACTGGCCCAGACGTCAGCCCAGCTCAGGCACTCCCGGGCAAAGGCGTCGCAGACGAAGGCCTAATGCCCTGGGGTGGGACTTGGGGCTGCTACCCACTGCCTCAGTCTGCCTCCTCGCTGAGCAGCCCATCCACTCAGAACTGGGTGAGTCGAGCGCATCCACCACATAGTGAAGGCTAATGGCAAGGCACTGGGTGGGAGAAGCACTGGGCTAGTGGGCCCCTCTCTGAGTCAAGACTGAAAAAATGGAACCTTCACACTAAAATAAAATGAAACAAAGCAAAATAAAATAAAATAAAAACAGTAGGGAAACGTGACTGTAAAAGGCTGGCCCAAGATCTGAGAGGAGGGGAACATGATGGGGCCGGAACAGTCCTGCAGTTTCAGAGAGCGGGTAGCACATCCATTAAGTCCAAGCACTGCAGCTCTTCCTGGGCCCGATCTGGTGAGCTGTCCACTGCTTCCTGCTGTTTCGTGCCCCCCAGCCATTGCGTGTGCCCTTCCCTCCAGCAGGAATACCTTTCCCCTTCTCGTTAACTCCATTTATCCTTTCAGATTCAGCATGAAGCACTGCCTGCAAGAAGCCACCCCTGAAGCCCTCCCATCTGAAGTAGATGCCCACCTCTGTGGTCTCAAAGCACCCTCACCTCACAAATCTCTTCAACATTTGACCACACTCACTACTTGGTCCCCACTAGACTTTAACCTCCTCGAGAGCAGGCGACAAGTTCAGATTCAAATCGTACAGTGCCCAGCACAGTTCCTGGTGCCCAGCACGGTTCCTGGTGTGTACTCTGCACTGAATAAATGTTTGTAAAAGGAAAAGGAGCAGGGGGCTGGGGGCTGGGCAGAAAGGATGGGCTCAGGAGACAACAGATAACTTGTCTCCCTTCATTCCCCGTGAGAGGGGCTTCGAGCGAAATCGGAGCTGTTGGCTAGAACCACTCGCCCCTGGGGTTTCACATCCCAGGAAAAGATAACCTGGATAGTTCTAGCTTAGATCACATAAAATGTTATTGGGGAAACAGCTTTTTGGTGCTGAAGGCATGCAAAAAGAAAGGTGGGCTGAAGGAGGGTTTGTTCCCAGAATATCCTGACTTTGCTGGAGGAGCTTGAGGCTAATAATAGGTTGAAACCACCCCAAGATGACAATCTCTCTGGGAAAATCTTGTGACCCAGCACGTTCCCTGACAGCAGTCAGTAGTGCTGGAAGGGGGCTAAATATCTGTGCTTAAAGAGACTCAAGGCCACAACATGGAGTGGACCCAGAATAAGATCAGCTGTTGGAAAATCACAGGGGTCTGTAGGCTCTGGAGCACTCGCCCTCCCCTGGCGCTGCCCAAGGCCGCCCTCCGGCCCCGCTCTGCCCAGAGGCCCAGGTGACAGCCAGCCCCTGCTGCCCCCTCTGCGCACACATTAGGCCTCTGGTTATTCACAGCCACTCATTCAAGTTCTTTTTCCACATGCATCAGGTTAATATGTTAAATATTAACTTATGTTTTGTTTTGGTTTAGTTTTCTGTTTGCTGAAACTGCATGGACGCAGAATGAATTAGCCAGCTCCCTGGTTCAAGGCACCCATGTCTGTTAGCAGGGGCAGAGCTTGCTTTCACTTATTTATTTTTTGACCTCTTCATCCGTCCCGAATTTCATTTTCCTCCCCTTACTGCTTTTTTGTGATTCTGTATGTCCTGCTTATCTATATTTCCATTTGTATCCAGGCCCAGTATTGGTATTATTTTGTGCATGCTTTTTATTTATTATTTTGTCAGTCCTCACCTGAGGACACTTTTTCATTGCTTTTAGAGAGGAAGACAGAGAGGGAGAGAGAGGAACATCAATCAGTTGCCTCCCATTGACTCCCTGCGTATGTTTTTTAAATAAATATGCTGCAGTGGTTGTTTGTGTACCTAGCATTCTTGTCTCACTTTTCTCCAGTCAAGATTCTGAGATCTTGAAATGGCTCTAAGTTGATACAAGTAACTATGGACCACAGCATTCCCTTTTATCTGTTGAATAGTACTCATCGTTTGCACAGAACACATTTGATTTCTCTACTTCACTCTGAGTAAACTTCTGGGTGTTTCCAAATCTTCACTATTACAAACAATCCTGTAAAAGCATATTCACGCATGCTTCTTTGGGGACCTGGGCAAAGTTTCTCTGGGCTCAGCACGTGGAAGTGCTGGGCCTTGGGATGTATCTGATCCCGCCTCACTCAACACTCCACACTGCTGCCCAGAGAGGGCACGCCAGCTCTCATGCCCGTGAGCGTTCTGTTTGCCGTCACCTTTGGCAGAATGCGGTATCATCCAACCTCTTAATATCTACCAACCTGAGCAGTACAAGGCCTATATCTACATCTTAACCAAATTTTCCCTTCCCATCCCCCACCTGTGTTCTTATTCCAAGTGTCAGGTTGTTCTGTTTTCACATCCTCAGGGAAGAGACGTAGGCTAAAAGCTGGAGAGGAGTGGAAGGGAAGAAGTTATCTCTTTCTGGCTTTTGAGTTTCAAAATCCCAGACTTTTTGGGAACCCCCAAAAATTCACAGTGTATTAAAAAGACTGGGAGAAAAACATAGTGTAAAAGAGAGGAAGAGCAAGCAGCTCCGTTGACCCAGCCCCGCTGGGCCGAACCACGGCGGCTGGGCTGGGTGAGGGGGCGCGCTGGAAGGAAGGAGAGGAACGTTCTGTGGACGGCCAACCAGAATGCTGACCGGCTGAGGCAGTGGCGTGGGTGGAGGAAGAGGGTCAGGTGTAAGGGTCCCAGGGGGTGGGGGGATGGAGGCAGTGGCTCCCTGGGTGGCAGTGCCTTCCTGTGACACCTCTCAACCCCAGCTGGTTGGTGGCTATTGCAGTGTGGACATCTGGCCTAGTTACCAGATATTTCCTTTTTTTTCCTCAAGAAAATCCAAAATCAGAATTTTTATATGGAAACTCTCTTCTTAAAAAAAAAAGTTCAAGCATATTAAAAATTGGCAAAATAGTATAACGAACCTGCTTGTACTTATCACCAGATCTCAACAAGTATCAACTCACAACCAATTTGGTTTCATCTATAATATCCCCCCACGCCTGAATATTTTGAAGTAAATCCCAGACTCACCATTTTCTTTGTAAAGATAAGGACTCATGATTCCAACTGTAACACAATGTCCTGACTAAATAAATCCCAATAATTTCCCATTAAATATCTTGGCAGTGTTAACATTCATAGTCTTCTCAGAAAGGTCATAGAAGTTTATATTATTTTCTATAATATAAACAGTTTGAAACAGGATACAAAGTCCATGCATTGCAAGCGACTGATGTTTTTAAGTTTCCTTCAACTGTAGGTTTGCTTCCCTTCTTTCTGTCCTTGCACCGTATTTGTCAAAGAAGAAGCCAGGCCCTTGGTCAGGTAGTGTTTCCCGGAGTCTGGATTTTGCTGGCGCCATTTAACATGTTCCTCCGTTTTCTGCATTTCCTGTAAAGTGGTAAATGGATCTAAAAGCTAAAGCTCTCATAACAAAAGGCTCATAATCTTTTGAAAAGAATTTTGAATACTGTCTGAGCCAGACAAAGTATCGCCTGCACTGGCTGCAACCCGCATGCCACTTATTTGCTGCCTCTGGCTGAGATGTCAGTGGATCGGGCACAGAAGCATCCAGGGCCCTCTGCCCCGTGCTGAGCCCCGGAGAGGGAGCCAAGTCCGAATGAACATGTGGGATCTGTGAGCAGGGGGCCCTGTGCCTCACCTTCCATACAGAATCCCACTCAGAGAGGGGGTGAGACCTCAGAGATGGGAAGAGGGTATGCAGCCTCTGGAGGCAGCCAGAGCCTGGCAGGGTGATTCACAGGCACTCAGGGGCAGCCCAGGAGTGGAGAGATGCCTGGTCCTGAGGCACTCAGCATTTCCATACCAACCAAGGAGCATATGCCCCACGCCCGGGCCACCAGAAGTCCTCCAGAACTAGACTACTGGAGGAAAAGGGGGTGGACCCTACGTGGCTGGGCTAAAAATCAGGACACCTTGATGGAATGGAGACTGTAGGAGAAGTTCAGCTGCATTCAGGAAAACAGAGAAGCTTCTGTTTCTTCCTTACTTGAGTTTGGGGACTGTGATTTCTACGCATTTCAAGGGGAGCTGCCAGAGTCCCCTAAAATCCCCTTTGCAGCACCCTGCAGAGATATGTGGCCCCCTCCCCTTGGGTGAACTGGACTGAGGATATGAGGTTGACCTTCAGAGGTCAACAACGACTCTAGGAATCCTACTTTCCCTCTTCCTGTTTGATTTTGATGGAAGTATTTGTCTAACTTCCTGGGTTTTATCCTTTTAAAAACCATTTGAGTATATCTCATAATTAATTTACAAGTGGATTTTGTTTTTCAATATGAACTGAGACTCTTTGTTTTTAGTAGAAGAAATTTGACTATTTATTTACTACTATGTTTAGTCATTTTCGGGGTTCATATTTTATATCTCCTTGTTTCTTTGTTATTATGTCTTTTGCTTGTTTGCATCTTATAAGTAAGTATGCTAGGTAAGTCACATTTTTAAAAAATATTTTATTTATTTATTTATTTATTTATTTATTTATTTATTTATTTATTTTGGAGAGGGGGGAAGGGAAGGAGAAAGAGAGGGAGAGAAACAGCAATATGTGAGAGAAACCAGTCAGTTGCCTCTAGCACAAGCCCTGACCAGGGACCCGACCTGCAACCCAGGCACATGCCCTGACCAGGATTCAAGCTGGTGACCTTTTGGTTCACAGAATGACACCCATCTGACTGAGCCACATAGGATAGGGCAAGTCACATTTATTTATTTTTTTAGTAGTAATGAGCAATTAACTTAAAACAAACAATGAACATTTTCT